TTATAGCCATTGAGAACGATGACGGAGGACTGTTTGATCGTGCGTGTATTAAATGGAGGGTCAGGATCGCGCCGAACGAAGAGATGGAACGATAAAGCGCAAATACGTGGCAGCTGACTCAGGTGGCGGCATCAAATGGCGGAGCGATGCGTGTGAGTTCGAAGTGCCGCAGGATGACGCGGCGGCTGACTCGGATAAGAAGGAAAATCAGATTTAAATGATTTAAATTAATTAAATTAATTCCAAAACTTAGAATTAATTCCAAAACTTAGAAAATGCATAACTTTGTGTATAAAAATCATAAAAATAAAATAAAAATACTCTGTTGTTCACTGAACATAGGAGAATAATGTGAAATTAAAATAAAAATTATTTGATGTGTCAGAGAGTATCTCTAGCTTTGAAACCCTAATTTTCAAGTTTGATTGACTATTTTTGCTTAAAATAATTATATAAATTAAAATATAAGTCAGAAAAATATGAGACTTGTTTTGGTAGGTTCTCTGTGGTCAGAGGACCCTAGAAAAAATATAAATTAAATTTGAATGTTCATGTAAATTACTATAGTTAATTAAACCCTAAAAACTCGTTAAAATTAAAATAAATAAAATAATATTCAAAAATTAACAAAAATTATTCCACATTATAAATGATAATCATTTTAACTCACTGTAAAAATTTGAAATTTATTTAATTTAGTTTGAGCACTAAAGTTTATTTTCTAAGTAAAATGATATTTTTGCATTAAAATAACTATAATAAATTAACTATAATGAAGAAAATTATGAAAAGTGATTTTTTGAGTTCTTTGTCATCAGGAGTACTTAGGAAAAATAAAAATTATTTTAAAATAAATAGTTCATTTTTTAGCTATATTTTGAATTAAAAATAAAAAAAATGATTAAAAATTTCAAAAATATAAAAATGTCCAAAATTGTTCCTAATTGTCCCCTGATCACCTAAGACCTTTTAAAATATTTTTCTTATTTTTCTCTGTTTTAATTATGTATTTTTAAATGCCAAAAATGTATTTTTCCTTAATTTTTCATTAAAATAATTATAATAAATAAAATTAAAATTGTAAAAAATGAAAAGTTTATTTCTCTGAGTCCTCTAAACTCAGAGAGATTTAAGAAAAATATAAAAAAAAAAATTTGTAATTAAAATATATTTTCTATTTAATTAATCACTAAAATCGATAAATAATTATAATAATCAAGATATAATTTTAAAAATTATGAAATTTTGTCCAAGTGGTTCTCTGACCTAGGTGAACCTCTAATAATTTTTTCATGAACAAAAATTTTACTTTGATTAGTTAAATAAACTAATATTAAAAAACTTATTTTTGAGTTAAAATAAATATATAAATTAAATAAAAATTAGAAAAATCGCATTTTCTCCTTGAATATTTTAACTGACCCATGAGTGAGGTACCATAAAAATTTCAAAGTCATTTGAGTTATATTTGATGAGTTATGAAGTGGGGAGCCCTAGGGGCAAAATAGTAAAGTTGGATTGTGATACCCTAATTAAAAGTTTAAGTTAACCAAAGGGTAAATGGGCAATTTTAATCATAATGAACTCTTTTGAATGTTTGAATCATAATGGATTAAAAGGTAGAAACTAATTTGTCATATATTCATGATAAAGGTAAAACTGTAATTTCATAAATTGTTATGACTTGAAAGTCAATCTAATTAGATGATACTAAAGTAAAGGACTTAAGTTAGTAAGATAATAATTCACTCATTTAAAGCCTCTAATTGATGATTAGATGATAACATGGTCTTTTGATAAGAATATATTTCACTTAAATTAGTAATTTGATATTTACAAATTTACCCATGAAATTGTTAAGGTCTTAGTAGTGCGCTAGGTTTGATACTTGAACTTGTTTGATGAGGATTAGGAAAAAAAGACATGATTGATTAACGTCTCTAAACACTACAAGCCTAATTTTTTAGTGGCAGGTACAAGGTCTTCAATGACATGGGTTTGCCCAAAGGGTACCTATTCACATAACTTTTAAATAAAACATTAAGTGACTGTCTAATTACCCCACTCTCGGGATAGTTGAAAGATCAGGTTCACTGAGCATGGGATGTATTAATTCATTGAAACTAAATTTAAAGTTTGGCATGATCAATTGAACAATATAATAGGTTTAAATGAACTTGAAACATTTCAAAAGGTTCTAAAAGTCATTAGGAATTGTTCCCCAAACACTTATGACTTTTTGGATATTTTGAAGGACAATTGAACCTATTATACTTTGTTTCAGAAAATCATCCATTAAAACCTTTAAAGATCCGCCAAGTTATGACCTGGAGTTTGGTAGCTATACCTTCAATTGTTCTTTCTTTTTTTACTATTCTTGGAATTTATTTAAATATCCTGTAAAATTATCTATATGTTGTAAGTTCTAACATTTCAGCGGAAGCAGCGTGAAGATGATAGGCACGTCTTTATAGTTTATTTACTTTCTGTCATTTCATTTACTGCAATTTACTATTGTTTCTACATACCATGCATGCTTGATCGACAAAATGAAAACAATTTTCAAAATTAAAACAATTTTCAAAATTAAATTAAACCCTTTCAAAGGTAACCATAAATCTTTTGAAGTGTTACTTCATAACACGTCATTTTGAATTTACGGAAATCCCTCGGATGAGATAACACACGGTTGCTAACAAGATCTCTCCGGTTTAAATAAGATTTACTCGTTTAAGTTAAGTAAATTCAGAAGAAAATAGCGATACTGGAACGAGGGAACCGTGGGATCCTAACCGGTGTCGCTCTAATCAACTTTAACCCCCCATAATGATTGAACTGAACTTGTCATTAAACCTTTGAACCTTTAGACTTTAGGACTGCTACTTCGTCGAGGAACTTGGAGCTAGCTACGAAGGTAGCCGTCTACAGCAGCAAACAAATCTTTCCTTTGAATTAAATAATAAGTTATAGGATTTCGATGTTATTTGTCGAGTGCAACATAAATCATCATTTTATCTTTAGGGATTTGCACAATTATGTTGTGCAAATTAAGCCCTAACTCGTTTTAGAATTCTGAGGTTATCATTCGTTACGACATAAATTCTTCTATCTTCAAGGTTATTTATATGATTGTGTCATGCAAATGTAAGCCTTAAATAATAATAATTGGCAGGATGAAACATTCAATAATTTTCCTCTCAAAATTGAAGTCAAACCATAGGATAGCTTGGGAAATCATTGAGGTTCTCCTCAGGATCCATGACAACCCCTAGTCTTCTCTATTTGGATTCCATAACAAGGTCCCAAATTTGAGTCTCCCCCATTTGACACATCTTGATTCGATCTTTGAAAAGTTATATCCTTTAAAATTCCTAGAAACAATATTTTCTGATATAAATCGAGAGTTTTCTTAAGTGACATCGGTCATTTAAGATGTAATTAACTATAGGGGTTTACCTCTATAAAGAGCTTTAAGAACTTAGGTAATATAAACCCGATCTAATCTTTCATATTAGGTAGGAGAATTTGTCGGCTTATATAAATGGTTCGCAGACCAAACGGATGTCATAATCTCAGTAGTTTATTTAATCGAGCCTCACGGATAAGTAATATATCTATTCCTCCGGATAAATATGTCACTTGTAGTGTTGTGCTCGTTTATTTAAACAATTCTTTATATGGAATCGATTCGGTCTCGTATTTTCAAAAATTAAAACATTATTTTTCAAAATTAAAAATACTATTTTTCTAAAAAATCAAATTTATATGTATATTAAATTAAATCAAAAATCACATTCTTGAATTGAACTTTTAGCGGTCGGCAGTCACAAACTTATATGCTTTACTCGGTACAATATTCTCCTACCTCTACTCGTTAGACTCTCCTCATTCTTACACGCATCCCAAGGAAGACACAAACCCCAATAAAATGCATATTCAAGTATTCATCATATTTTCTCTCTCCATACCTACTTCTCTATCTATCCAAATCACTACCACTAAAGTTGTGGAAGACCCTCTTCCATATACACAAATTTAGATCAAATGGTAACTTCAAAAAAGAGAGAAATAAATAAATGAGAAAATAATATGAAAGAGAATAAAAAGGAGCATGAAGAAAAAACTACGCGGAGAATAAAGGCAAAGCAAGATGAAGAATTCATTATCCTCAAAGCAAATGCACATGTGGATTCATCATATTCATGAAAGAGGAAACTTCTAACTTAAATTATCATACTCTATTCCACCCTCTTGCATGATTATTTTAAGTTTGGGCACTGTTTAGAAAATTCTAATTACAAAAATGCTTAATTTGAAGCATAGATTAACATCTAGTTGAAGTTTAATAAGAACAACCCAATTCTTCAACAAACTTACAATAATGCATGAAAGCTTACTCTCCCCTAGATAAATTCTCTTTCAACTCAACTCCATGATTAGAATTCAGTCACCCATCACATCTTACCTTTAAACCCAACCTCCTTTCTCTTACATACACACATCTCATCAGAATTCGGCTGAGGGTTCACCCTCGTTGCACAAATGAGTTAGGCTTGTGAAAGAGGAGGATTATATGATTGAGGTCGAGCTAGTCTGATTCCATGCTGGTTGAGAGCCAATTTGGGTGATTCAAGCTCATTTGTGCTTATTAGGTAAAAACTTTTTAAGCTAGTACTACAATCAAACCAAACCTAATCAGCCCCCATTAACTCTCTAATGGGCACTTCTAAGATTCATAATCTTCTTTAAAGATTGTAGAGGATTGTAAAAAGCCTAAAAAATTTGTTTAATGTCATATATATTTACAAAGTACTTATTGGCCTCAACTACAACAAATGTTTTCCCTAAGGCCCAATTTTTGTTTAACTTGCCATCACAAAAAATAATCACCAATTAGTGAAAACATGGTTTGTTATAGGAGAAGTTGGAATAGCACCTGACTTGGAAGTTATTTCCACTTATGCTAATGGCCAAACGAGAAAGGCATAAGAAAACATTACCTTTGATCACTTGACCGCTGCCAAGCTCAAACTCAAAGGGGTCACCTCTCTCATAACTAGAGTCGAATGTACTCCCATCAGTGAGCATTCCCTGTATTAAAAATTGCCCAAAATTCAGCTGTAAATCTATTGGTTTGATAACAGAATTTTGAGTAATGTTAGTTTTAAATTTATGAAAATATAAAAATTTGACTATTATAGAATACATGCTTATAAATACATATATATTTATATATATAAGCGACCTTTATTCAAATGCAAAAGTTCTCAATTCTAACTTAAAAAAGCCTGCAATTAAAAATGCAAGATTGGCCTCTGTTGCGGTTTTAAAATTAGCTGCTAAATCTTAATACAACCAAAAAAACCAGATATATTTGTAGGCAGTTACAAGATTCCTAAATGCAGAGGAGACAAACCTGTAAGAAAACCTGAAGCAGAAGATGGTTTAAACACACCACACAAAAAGAAACACCCAATGAATCAAACATACAAACTAAAGTGGAAGCCAGAAACCATGCTTCAGTAACAATAGATATTAGTGTAAAACGCAAAGGATTTTTAATGCGTTCAGTGCAATATTGCCAATTTGCACAGTTGCTAACATCTTTGAGAAACTAAAAACCAAAAATTTGTTTGGCTACTTACATGATAATGCACTTTAACTCTATCGCCTTTGTGAGCTTGAATGCTACAACTCTCTGGTTTGTACTGCAACCACAGGAATTGAATCATTTTAGAGGCATAAATAATATTTAAAAATACATACCACATAATTCTTATGTATTTACATATGTAACACATAAAATTTAATATTTACATGCATAGGACTCAAATCTTTAATATCACATCAAAAATATAACTATCACCTACATTTAAAAAGTTAAATACACCTTTTAATATAGGTATATCACACCAAAGATTTATAAATGTAAGTATGAAAGTCTAGGAGTTAGATACGTAAAAATATAACTAAACCCTAAGAAGTTGAAATATAGGACTTGTGACATTACGACTATATTGCTTTGTGTACTTGCATCACATCTAGAAAATGAACAGAGACAATTTGCGACATTAAACTTAATCTTCTAGCCCTACATGTGATAGAATACACAACAATGTTGAATTAAAAAAACTCATTGTTGCTCAAGCATTTATCTCTACTTAGTTTTTTAGCACATTCTCGTGTTTTAAGATATAATACTCTCATTAAGATTCCACCATCATAACCCTACTATATAAGCACTCTTTCTCTTACCAGACAAAGAAAGAAAAGAAAAGGAAAATGATCACCATCATTTGCTTATCTAACTCTTGGAGTTGGTTTTAAGAATAAAAAATCTTCATTAGGCCACACTTATCTTATTGGTATTCTTTCTATCACTCAACCCAAGTTTTCAAACCATTAAAGTTTATGTTTCACTATTTATGTTCAATAGATGTAACTCCTATTGTTCCTCTAATGTAATAATTTCTTAATCCATCTTCCTCAATTTTATCGCACATTCACTAAACATTTTCATTTAATCCGCACTCACCTATCTCGTTTCGTTTACTAAAAATTCAGTATAAACCAAATAAATTTACTTCATAATTTTTTTAATGGTTAACAATTCTAATCTAACTTCTTCGCCACAAGAATCTGAAATGCAAAAATGATTTTTCACCTGCTGCTCGTGTAATTTTGCATGGCATCTCAGGTAGGAATGCCAAATCGCCACTATAACAACTCCAGCTCATGATTTGGCTTGCATCCATTGTATCATAGGGTATTTATATACATACCACCCAATTCTTATGTATTTACATATCTAACGCCTAAATTTTACTTTTACATTTATACCACCCAAATTTTTTATATCACATCAAGAATAGCATTATTTTAGCTTTTAAAAGGTGAAATGCACCCTTTTATGGATAGGTAACGTGGCATATATGTAAAAGTAGAAGTTTAGGTGCTAGATATGCAAATACATAGGAATTGAATGGTATGGAAGTAAATCTTCCTTCTCAAATAATCCACGAAAACAACAAAGGGTTTTCAAAAATAGGACAAAATTCAACGCATAACACTAAAGTTAGCCTTTACTATGACCATAAAATTATGCCATTTTAGAATTGCCTAAACTAACTAGTTACCAGTTAACCTTTTCATCAATTGAACTAAATAAAAAGTTTATCAAAATCTCAACTAGCACATAATGTAACGGAATGAAGCATGAATCAAAATCGCATGATTTAGGGTCTGTGATAAGGATCAACGAAACCCTCATCAATCAAAATCTCACCTTGACGCCGATCTGCAGCTCCGTAACATCGCGGGATTTCTTAGCAGAGACTTCATGGCAGAAAAGAAATCGAAAGTGGAAAAAGAGGTTAGTTTTGAACAAAGAGATGGAAGTGAAAAAAATCAAGAGGGAGAGTGAAAAAAGCTTGAGGTTATACCAAATAGAACTAGAACGGCCAATAACGCAACGCAGCTTAAAATCCTCCTCATCGCTCTCATCTTTCTCCTCTTTGCCGGCTCGGATCGCTATCGGCGTGGCTTCTGATCTTCTTAGGTTTACAGAGAAATATAAATCCAGTATCGTCATCGGCTAGGGTCGGATCGGACTGATTGGTATGCTGCTTCGCGAGAACAAGTAACGTACAAGTAACTTTATGACGAGAACTAGTAACGAACAAGTAACTTTATGAAGAGAAGGTAATAAATTAATACCTTAGTATTACTAATTACAAAAAAGCTCAACACCCACCGACAGAAAAAAATTTCTGTTCAGACTCTGTATGCAGCTCTACATGCAGACTCATAGTAATATATCGTCATGTTTGTTATATTTGTCCACTTAAAAAATATTAAAGTGAAATCACGGACTCCACAATAACGCTGAAATAATCTCAAAATAATCATGAAATAACTGATGTTGTTTCACTTTATTAACCCTGAAATAATTTCCCCAAAATAACACCGTGAAGATTATTTGTGGGTTATTTCATGGCTATTGAAGATAAACTCATATATTCCACTTCAATAATCTAGAAATAACCTTGAAATAGCTTCTGCGATGTTATTTTAGGGTTATTGAAATGGAACCACAGAGGTTATTTCGAGATTATTACTGGGTTATTGAAGTAGAATATATAAGTTTCTCTTCATTAACCCTGAAATTACCCTAAAATAACTCTGAAATAACATTCACGGTTCCACTTTAATAACCCCGAAATAATCTCTGCGATGTAGCACACTTGACGACATATTATTGAAATCCGCAGGTAGAGCTACGTCAGAAGTCCGGACATAAAATTTTTCCCACAAATAAATACTGAGATTTTTTAAGTTGAAAAATCTCAAAAGGAAACAAAACCACGAGGCTTAACTCATTTAAAATAATACACTATGTAATCAAGAGTATAGAACTTTACTCTTCACCTAGAATAGAGAATATATGATTATAAGATTATGTTGAAATCATAATTATATCAAAATAATTCAACAGATAAAACTGTATATGAGTGGTTGGAATTATAACTTTTATAATCAGACTACAACAGTCATTATGGGACTATAACTGTCATAGTTAGCTATAGAAGTCATAGTTTAATAAAAGTTGTTGGTGGTGGTTATAACAATCATAGTAGAGCTACCAATGTTAAAGTTATAGGTTACAATAACTATAGTTAACCACAAAAGCCATAATTTATGGTTACAACAATCTTAGTTGGTTGTTGTGGTTATAAGAATCATAATTGAGAACATAAGTCATAGTTGTAAGCTACAATAGTTGTAGTTGCCTACATAAGCTATAGTTGGTGGGTATAACAATTAGTACCTTTGGATTTTTATTCTCTCCCACCTCAAGAAGAATATTTATAGATGAAATTTAAATAAGGGATAATTCAAATTTTGATAGTTTGCTCTACCAGTGAACCCATGGGCTCGCACCCACACTCCACAATGCAAGAATAGTTTTGTTAATTATTATTGTGCGCTCACCAGCCCATTACACCGATGCGAGCATAAGCACTCCAGCAACTCCCCAATTGGGTTGAACATTTGGTCGGTTCAAATTTATCGATTTGCACATTGGTCAAACTGATTGCAACTGAAATCTAAAATCCAAAAGTTGAATCAATCAAAATTCTTGATTAAACCGAACCGGCCGAACCAAAGTTTATTTTGTATAAACAGTTCGGCTATAAATAGACTGAAATTTAATTGTTTATTGAAGTTTTATTATGAATAAATATTACGAACTAAATATTTTAAATGTATAATATAAATTTAATTTTATGAATCCTCCAACTACTTTAATCAAATCTTACGTACATCATAAATTTAGGTGCTTTCATGAAAATTAAAATAGAGAAAGATTTATTTACATATCACTTAACTCTTATGTATATACATATCTAAAACCTAAAACTCCCCTTTTACATTAATGCCACATTACTATGCATGAAAAGGTGTATTCCATTTTTTTGAAGTCAAAACGATGGTAATTTAATTATATATGAAAGATTTGGGTGGTATAAATAACACACACACACACACGCGAATCGGTTGGTTCTTTGGTAGGCAAAATGTGTAAGACCCCTGGGATCCCAGGTTCGAGGCACGTCTTGGACAGTACACGGGTAAATTGCAAACGCATTTTGTGATTCATCTTTATTTCAATATATATATATATATATATATATATATATATTAATTATTATTATTATTATTATTTAAGAAATGGTCGAAGGCTATTTGATGAGCCTCGGTTACACACGCACACACACACACACAGAAATTAGGTGGTATGTGTGTAATTGCCCCGAAAATATAATAATAAATTTTTATTAAATTTTAATTTTTCGATTTTTTTGAGTTACATGAAAATTTAAACTAAGCTAATAAACGAAAATCGAATATTAAGGTATTAAAATCTTAAAACTAAAATACATATTTGAAACTAAAATGAACTAACCAAAATTTTTCGATTTTGTTTGATTTTTCAATTTTGACCAAATAATGCAAACATGTGTACCATAGCACGGGCATCATCACCTAAGTGCACATGCACACGTGTGGGAATGTGCAAAAACAATCTTGACAAAGCCCTCACCACTGTGCCCACACACACAACACTACCTCATGCAAGCCGCCGCTATCGGGCACCCCCGCACATATTACTACGCTCTTGCTTGCTCTAGCACTAACCTGTGCCTCTTGTTACATTTTTAGGCACACTATAGTGCTCACTTATTTGCATGAATATACATGTGCACACGAGCATAATGTCTAATCTAATTCTAAATGAGTCCAGATAAAAAACTTTAAATATAGTTGAAGGCTTTGGTGCATCAAATGGAAGGTCAACGAACTTTAAAATTTTGCATTTTATGATTAAATTGAGTATCTCGATGAGAGAAATCCAACAATCTTAAGATCATTCAATTTTGAGGTTAAAATACCTATATATTGAAAACACTACCTGAGATTAAAGAAATTAACTAGAATCATTCGATAGAGAGTTGAGATCCTGAATAAATTTATCAAAATATCTTTCTTGCAAACTATAAATATATTCTCATTATTTATTTAAAAGTAGTGGGGATAAGAAAATTTAGCTAACTACTAAAACTTAACTTTAAAGTCCCAACTATTGTCGTCAATCACTAAAACTCCTTGTTGGCCACCAAAATTCAAACCTGTCTGCCGGTCACCATCAACCACCACCACCAATTGGTATTATCACAAATTACAGGTTTTATAGCCAATTATGACTGCATAATCTGTGAAAATTATAGCCTTCAACTAAGATTATTATAAACACCACTTGTAGCTTCTACAGCTAACTACGGTTGTTGTAGTCACCAACTACGATTGTATGGTCTCTAACTATGACTTTAGTAGCCCTTACCACTATTGTTATATCTAATAACTACAACTTATATAATTAATTGTGGCTTCTATAACCAGTTATGATTGTTATAGCCCCACTACGACTATTATAGTCTTACTACTACAACAATTATAGTCTCCACTATATTTATACAAATTTATATGTTTGGTTATTTAAAAGGAATTATAATTTCAACATAATCTTGTAATTTCGTCTTCCATCATTTGGGTGAAGAGTGGACTTCTATACTCTTGATTACATAGTGAATTATTTTAATTGTGTCAAGTCTTGTGATTTTTCTGCTTCCAGGATTTTTTTCATGTAAAAATTCAATTGTCCTCTCTCATGATTTTTTTATATGTGCCATGTATTTTCATCCATACAATTACGTTAAATTATCACTTTATTCTTACAACTTTTATAACATGCAAAAACATTCAAAATGGTTCAAATATAGTTTTGGCATAGTTTGAACATGATTGAGCAAGTTTTGAATTATATTTGAATGTTAATGAAGGGTTCAAAAAAAAATTGAGCAATGCTCAAATTTGGTTCGAGCAAAGTTTAAATAATGTTTGAATTCGGGTTTGAACAATATTTGAATAATTTTTTAATTTGATTTGGCTATGATTAATACAAAAGAGTGCATTTTAACAATTGTAATAGTGGTTGATGTGACATAATATATAAGAAAGTGATACACAAAAGTGTAACGCAGTAGAGATCTATCAGAGTAGCTATGACGCTCAATATTTTATATTAAAAAGTTATAACACATGATAATATTAAGTATTACATCATTTGGAAGATTCACATAACAAACATAGCACATGGTGTAATTAAGAAAATATAATACAACATCCATAATGTAAAAAATATAAATACAAAACTACTATGCGTTATAAACTAAAATCACGAGGAAAACACTATACGTTTGAATAAACATTTCTCATTATTATTGTCAAATTAATAAATATAACGTTTATTTTATTTTTGAAATTAGACATACTATATAGCCGCTGATGCAAATAAGATGCTAGGAACGAAATCTGATACACATTAACTAATTAAATTATTTTAGATCTACTGTTAAAAGCAAACCCTAAAGTTATTAGAGATATATTTTAGCTCTTTAATATCACTGCTAATGCTAATCTTTTAGTGTTGTCCATATAAGGAGCTCTAAACTTGTAATTAAAATTCATTTACTGCAAAAGAGTGGTGGAAGATGGTAGTCGGTGGTTGCAAAAGCAAGCTAAGTTCACTGGACGTTGGCGTATAACATGAAGGTCCCACTTCTTTTTCTCCAAGCTTCAGCCTTCATCTGGCTCAAGATCTAGTTCTCCTCTCGAAAGGGGGGTATATCTATTTATAGAGTTTGATATATGTCTCTTTGCAAATTAGGAAGGAATTCAGACACTTTATCAAACAACTTGAAGATATTCCCTTGATCGGAATGTGTTCGATGAATAATCGAGTGCCTTAATAACTTCATAATTGAGCGATATTGAGCTCGCTTTAAGCTTGTCATATTTAAAATATATTTGATTTGTGCTTGATTTGACTCAGATTAAATCGATTTTGGTACTATCTGTGAGTCACTCAATTTGATTTAAAAATCTTGAAATTGGAGTTCTGTATGATTTTTTAATTGAAATTTGAACATTTTTTTGCTCAAAGGTTGCCTCAAGATTAGTGTAAGGAGAAAATTTGTTTGTCTCATATCAACATCATAAAGTTTTATGTTTTATTCTTGAAATTATTTTTTAATATACAAAGGCCGCAATTTTATTTTAGGAAATATTATATCTATAAATAAAATTATTTATTTATTTATATATCTAATACTTAAATATATTTTTATTTATAATATCTCAGTGTCC